CACTAACAAGGACTAAAAACAGCACAAGATAAAAGTAAACACAAAAGTCATCCTTTCCTGAGCTAGTATTACATCTTTTCCCAAAAAGGTTCAAGCAAGCAGATGAGCTTACCTAAGTCAAAGGTGTCTTTCGTGAGACCTAAGCAAGAGACCTTGACAGCTTATAACTTTAAGGTACAACTTTAGTTACAGTACAGGTATTCCTGGAAGATAATGAGGAACAAGATTATCTGGAAAATGTGTTTCTAAGGTATCTACATTTGCCAACTCTGACCTTTTCCCACATCTTCATTCTCTTATACAAACCCCAATCCCTCACCCTGACTATGCAACTCCTCTCTTGGAAACTTGCAGCTGTCCTCTCTGACAGTGTACCCAGTAATCTAAATGAACTCTTCTCTTTCTCCTATTCCTCATCTGTTGATACATTCCTTTACCACCCATGTCCCCAGCTCTCCATCCATCATCTGACACAGCAGTATTATTAGCCTTGGAGTCTATTTTTCTCAATGTCTCCATCAAAATCAATCTTCTTTATTCTGATTTGGTAAAAAAGTTGTTTTGGTCATGCAAGAGGATTAAGATTCATGCTAGGGATTTAGCTCAGTGGCTCCGTGCCTTCCTTGAAAGCACCTGAATTTGATCTCTGGTACCAGGGGGAAAAAAAAGATTCAGCCACAATGTCTGTGTAGCTGGTCCTAAGGTGGAGGCTGAGACAAAATGGCTTTCAAGGTTTGCTACTCAAAGTGTGTACCCTGGGCCAGCAGTTTCAAGATCATGGGGAAGCTTACTAGGAAAGCAATTTTCCAGTCAATTCCCCAGACATTCTGGATTAGGATATCTATAGACTGTCCTGGGAATCTGTTTTAACAAGTCCTGCTACCCACCAACGTTAGACAGCACTGTCCTACGTGGCCTGCTGCACTTGGGTGTCTTGTCCTTTGCTGGATACTGTGGTACACAGGGGATCTGAGGGCTGGCAAGTAGATTCTCTTGGATAAGGGCTTGGGGTCTGGGTTGAGACAGGCTTATGCAGAGTCCCAAGAATACTTCCTATTCATGATAACATTCAGTCCCATGAGGCCTCAGATTCCTTATCTGTCAAATAAAGATGCCAATTGTAACTAACTGCACAAATTGCTGTAAAACATTACATGTCTAGCAAATCATAAGCTCAGTGTGTATTCGTTGCTTTGTTTATATCAATTGGTATCATCCAATGGCCAAATGCATGTATCAACCTTAAATTATGTGCATGAGTTATGTGAAGTGACCAGTGAGGGAATTGCTTCCTTTGGTAAAAAGCTCCAGCCTGGGGGTCCCAACAGACCAGGCTCAGTCACTCATTCCAAAATTCTAATTAAGGAGAACAGGAGCAGTGAGTGTCAATCCGCATAGCCATTCTGGGAAGCACAGCTAAAGAGGTTCAAGATCTGGGTTCAAGGGGCCGGCCAAAACCTTGGCCTTTTGGAGAGAATGAAGCAAAGGGTTGGGGGCTGCCTAGCTGGCAGCATGGGTCATGCTGGTCACGTCCTAAGTCAGGATCAGTTCTGAGAGCTTCTGGGAGGAGAACCACATTAACCTGAGGGAGCCCTCTGTCCTCATAGTGAGGGGACAGTCATGCAATGATAGCCCCTCGTGGAGGGGCAGCCTCCATTCTGTCCTGTGTGGTGGGCAACCTCATCAGGAGTCTACAAGGCTCTGTTTCTCCCAGAATCTGAGGTGACTGCAGGCTTAGGACAATGACTCCAGACTTCTAGGTGTCACTACAGGGGTCTGGAACTGGGTGTTGTAAAAGCTGGAAGTCGGGTGTTCTTACAAATCCTGAATGTATCTTCAGTTGCTCTTCTTTCGATGTCCTCCATCTTGAAGAGGATGAGAGACCAGATGCATTTAGGGCTGGTGACACAGACCCTTCTCAGGTGATTAACCTGTCTCTGTGAGAGCTTAGCTCAAGTTTAAAGCAGTAAATGAGATGGACACAAAATGAAGGTGGAGATGCCAAGCCCCATCCTGCTCTTAGCTACCCATTGGGCATCTCTATGTCCCGCTGTCTACACTGGACATCAGCATGCATGGACAGGGCTTTGGCAGAAAGCCTGGCCTCTCAGTAGTCACTGCCACCTCTACTACATCAGGATGCAGCATGATTTTTCACACAGCAATCATTTCTTTCTCTGGTAAAGACAGTAATCTTGGGAAGAGAAGGGCAATTATCTCAGCAGAATTACCAACCTTGCAGGGTGACATTATTGACTGTTGGAAATTACATGGTATTCATTTGCTGCTATTTTAACATCTGTCGTCTTCTACTTCCCCCCTTCCTCAGCCTAGTGCTGAATCCCCCACCCTCCCACCTCTTTCTTTCTTTTGATTAATCCTGGGAAATAACTTCCTTATTTTTAGCAGGCTGGCGCTGCTAGCAGGGATTTGATATTGAGGATCATAATAAGGACTTCCACACTTTCAGCAGGGGCCCAGCCACCAACCTTTGGATTTGCCAGTGATGCTTCAGAGCACTTGTGGCTGCCAACAGAGGAATACCCATCGAATACCCCCATGGCTGGCTTCAAAGTGGCCTGGCTGCTCTTTCCTCCTCATGGTTATTCTACTAGACTGAGTTGTACTGAAAGCCAGTTACCAAATGGTATGAGCTTGCTGCTATAGAGTCCAAGAATAAGACAGAAGTGCAGTGTGTGTGTGTGAGTGTGAGTGTGTGTGCACGTGTGTATGCATGTTCTGAGCTGAGATGAGGAAAGGGTGGCTGCTAACTCCACCAAGGCCATATTCTGTGCATGACCCTTGGAAGCATTTCTATCGCTTACCTGATTTGGGTGAGCAATTTAGCCTGTCCCGATCTATTAATTTTTTAAGGTATAAAATGGGAACTACAACATTGAATTCATAGGTTACAGTGGGTTCATGTAAAATTCAAACTGTATTCAAACTGGGGCTATTACTGTAAAATTGTAAAATACGTATTTGGTCTTCAACCTCATTTCTTGGCATACAGCTCTGAAAATCCTTGGATCTTCAAAGTGATGAATTGTGCTGTGTGCTAATGAGTTGGCTGAGGGCCTGCAGCCTGTAGGTGGCTTCCAGATGGAAACTGCTCAGTGGAAAAACAAAAGCAGGGTTAGAGGGGTTGAGACCTTACCATTCAGCTTCCAACTCCGGGAGAAGTGAGGAAGTAAGCGCTTAAAGTGATCAATACTGACCAATAACTTAATCAATCACGTCTATGTCATGAAGCCTCCATAAGCCCCCAAAAGAACCAGATCTGGAGATCTTCTGGACAGCCAAACACATGGGGTGCTTGGAGGGGGTGCCCAGGGAGTCCTGCGGGCTCCTCACCCCTGGCTGCAGCCCTTGCAGATTGTCCTTGCCTCCCCTGCAGTAAGGGTTTAAGGATTTCCCTCAGCTACTCTGGAAAAGTCATGGAGCCCGTGCAGAGGTTTGGGGAACCCAGATCTACAGCCTGTGGGCCAGAAGCCCCAAGAAACAACCCAGGATGTGGCCAGTATCCAAGGGACCTGGAGGGGCAGACTTGGGGACTAGCCTCAGCCTGGGGCGTCAGAATTGAACCCCACTGCTGAAGCCCTGCAGGGTGGGGGGTAAGGAAAGCCCTACCACATTTGGAGCCAGACACCGTGAGTCAGAGTATAAGACTGGTTTGACTTTTTCCCCTGAATCTTTAGAATTATGTTTTCACAGTAGTTAACATTTGTTAGATTCCTCTTATTTGCCAACCTTGAACTATGCCTTTCACACACACGTCCTTCCAAACGACCCAGGAGGGAGATGTGATTATCAGCCCCAGTTTATGGCTACGGAAACCAAAAGTTGAACCAGTTTCAGGAGGGTGCTGTGGGTTCCTGAGAAGAAAAAGCAGAGCCCTGTTGGCTCCGGTCACTGTTCTCTCCTTATCAGGCTTCGCTGCTGAGTTCTGTGTCTCTTCCTAACCTTTTGTCTTCCCCCACTTGCCTTGGTGCCCAGTGACAAGGTATGAGCAACTGGTAGTCCAGAAGAATTCCCAGGCCCTCTCTTGTTACCTCTAAGCAGTCTCCAACGCGTGGGAGGTCCAGCATTTTATCATAACCGAGAGGCAGAGATTTATACCTGAGTGTGCAGACTCCCGGGGCTGTGGCAGCCTGATGCCTTCTCACCCAACGCAGTGCCACCTGCTGACTCCCTTCTCCTGCGCAGGTCTGGGCCCTGCGCTGACGGAGAGGGATGATGGGTTGGAGGGATGTTTAGGAGGGATGTTTAGGAGGGTTGCTTCCGAGATTGGGTTCAGCTTCAAAACTGCAGCCTTCGTGGTTGCCACTGGCGCATTGCAATCATTAGAGATAAAGGAGGACCTGGTTTTGAGCCAGAAGTTACAGTTGCTAGAGCAGCAGCTGGGCCAAGTCAGCTCTGACCCTGTGCTGGGTATTTCTGGAGATTCAGGCCCAGACCCGACTTCCCTTCCAGGGAGCTCTGAGCCCTGACCCCGTCCCTCTCTCTGCACCCAGCAGGAAGCCGGAGGCAGAGTGGGCCGGAAGCCCGCACCTGAGTGAAGGGTGCCGCGCATGCTGTCGGGATGTGAAGCCAGCTCTGTAGGCGCTGTATAAGGGTCTGTTAACCAATGTCATTTTAAGAGTGAGGTAGTCCGTGCCAGGACGAGAGCCCAGCCCACTCCTCTGGAGGAAGACTCTCATCGGAGCGGACCAAAGCCTCGGGAATTTCCATGGATTGGGGTAGCATGGCCCGGAGCTGTGAGGCAGAGTGGAAATCTCATGGGCTCAGGAATAGGACACAGCTGGGCCTCGGGGCCACTGTACCATGCACACTCTGCTCTTGGGCCTGTGACAGCAAGGACCCCTGCTCCTTCCTCACGCTTACTTCCTGGCCACCGAGGGAGCAGTTTTGTTCTTCCCTGTCCACCCTGCTGCCTGGGCACAGGCCCAAATTCAACAGGGCCACAGATTGTGGGTCAGAACCTTTAAAATGGTGAACCAAAGAAACCTTTCTCTTTATAAGATGATTATATAAGCATCGTGCTATCGCAGCAGAAAGCGGGCTCACAGGAGTTGTTATTTCTCCTTCTGTAGGAGTTAAGAGTAATAGTGGTTTGTTTCCTACCAGTCTGTCTATTTTACAGACCCTGCTGAGGTCCTGGGCTAATTCCTGGAGATGAAGGGTTTGTTTCCTGGGCTCACTGCTGCAGATTGTGGCCCGAGTTCTGCCTCCATGGATGGCCTGGCTGTTGTCTGCAGGTATGTTCAGCCTCTGTAGAGGACTTGCCACCTCCCTGGACTTCACCAAGGCACCGAGTCTCTTCACTTTCACCTCTGTTCTCTCTTCCTGTGGTTTAATTGGGTGAGGGGTGAAGGGAGAGGAGGAAAAGAAAAAGAAAAAAAGAACCTTACTTGATCACCCACGCTTTCTAGTCTCCTTACTTGTGAATTGAGGCTATTCATCACAAGGCAAGAACTTCAGGTTTCTGGTCTTGGATTTCTCTGTGATGATCTTAAGCCCTGAATGACCTCCTACATAGCAGACAAAGGAAGGTGTCCAGCACCTTATGCCAGGGACACACTTTTGGGAAGTGGTGGAACCTTGCAAGATGGGGTCCTTTAGAGAATGTGGGTCTTCAGTTTGGCCTCCAGGGTTGTTCCAGGACTGGGCAGTTCACACCTCCCTCCACTGGAGGCACCCTTTGCTCCTCTCCTCCAAGAAGCACTAACCATCATGGCTGTTTGCTCTACTTCCTTTCAACTGTTGGTTCTCATGCAGGTGCAGATGCTGCCTCCAGACAACTTTTCTCCGTCCCTGTTCCTGGGCTTTCCGGGAGTTTGTAGAGCTGGTACATAGCTGGTGCAAATTACAAGCAGCTTGTGTCTGTCAGGGTCTCATCAGAGTGGCAGATCCTGCAGGAGGCATGAATCATAAGAGCCTGCTGTGGGTCTGGCTGAATGGCCTCTGTAAGGCTGCTTCTGTCACATATGCTGCAGGAGCTCAGGGCCCTATGGAAAGGCAGCCAGGGAGGGAACGTGGTGGCAGGTGGGAGAGGGCAAAGACAAGCAAAGCCATGGGAAGGATGGATGGAGCCAGGACTGTTCTCCGTGCTGGCCAGCAGGCTTTTGCCACAGGAGAAGCTGGCACCCTCTGCCACTGAGTTAAGCACTTACCTGCCCAGGACGTAGGCTGGAAAAGGGCCATAAGGAAAGTGGGCCAGCACCCGGTGCCCACAGCAAAAGCACGAGTCCACAGGTGAGGGGCTGCACCTGTGCCAGCTTTGCATCTGCCCCTCACACTTTGCACAGGTCTCTAGCCACCCCTACCCCCGCACTGGCCAGAGACACACCGAGCACAGGACTGCAGCAAGCTTGGGCAGCCTGAGTGACTCACCCTGTTACAATGCTGCCACCGCGATTGTTTGAAACCCTAGATGATCCCCTGAAGCGAGTTCACGTTTTCACAAGCTGCAACTCTTACAGCTCAGATACAGAAAGCGTAAAGCTTTTGTAATTAAGAGTTTCTTCTTTTTATGAAGTATTCAAACCCCACAAAGGCTTCGAAAGGCCGTGTCTACTGATGTCCTCCGCATCGCATCTGAGCATTTATTTAAAGTGCATCCGTGAATTTATTAGCCACTTAGTCATCTTTAGGTAACATGAGGAAGTGTGTTTCTTCACCAGCCTACTCTCCTCGCTAACTGAGGCAGGGCGAAGGGGAGGAGAAAGTCACAAAGGCCATCTAGGGAAACTCGCTGTCAGAGGGGCTGAAGGGCCAGAAACAGGAAGAGGTGCAGCGGGGACTCCTTCCCAGGGCTCTGCACCGAGCTGGTGTGGACTCACACTGCTGAGCACACCTGGGAGGCCACCACCCGCGGATCTGCTGCTGGCCCTCTGGAAGTCGGGCCCCGTGCAGCTTCCTTGGCGCCTCTCTAGAACCTCAGCTGTTTCCCCTCTCAAATCTCTTTTTCCTCTGTGTCTTCCTGCTTTCTCTCTTTCTGTGCTGACACCATCTTGATATTTTGCAGCGGAGAGCTAAATAGGAAATGTAACCAGCACAGAAGTACTCTATATATCAGAGAAAGAGGAGGGAACAGGAAAAAGACACAGGGCGAGAGTAGAAAATGGAAGCCTGGCATCGATTTACTTTTCCCATGGGCATGTGTGGTTGCCAGCTGGGGCTCAGCGGTAGGCTGTGTAAACAGGCCTGTGAGAGGACATGGAGAGACAGTCTGGACAGGGAGAGAAAAGGCCAACGTCCCATCGCTAGCTCTGTTTCTGTGTGGATTCTGCTGAGTCTCTTTGCATTTCTGAAAGGCATTATTTTTATTTCCCAAAGAAAGGCATTTTGAGATACTACAGTCGTGCGCAACCTCGGCTGAGGGTCACTGCCACTCTACTCCTGGTAGAACATTGCTGCACACAGGACATGGCGGCTTTCAAACCTCCCTGACAGGATTTTTCCTTGGACAGGTTTTGTCAGACCTCTGTTCTAGACCCATCAGTGCATGGCCTTGTCAAGTCTCATTTTGTTGTTGTTATTATTGTTGTTACCAGGGATCAAACTCAGACCTTGTGCTTGCAAGGCAGGGGCAGTTCCACTGAACTAAATCCCTGGTCCTCCAAGTCTGATTTTAGCTAAGAGCTTCCCCGCCTTCCGTGTCCCTCACCTGACACCTGGTGGTCCCCTCATCCCACTCCAGGTGCTGTCGGATTGCCCTGCCCTGAATGCCCCGACAGTCCTGCTGGGGTCGGCATAGCCAGGGTCCCCCAACCCTCCCACTTATTGGTCATTTTCCACCCACTGGCCACTCTGTCCTGGGGTGCAGATTCCTGCTTGCCCACAGTGCAGGTGAGGTGAAGCCTAATCTCAGTTCCCCCTGCGAGACTGTCCTGAGGGGTGCTGAAACCTACCTCGATGGTCCTGGATGAAGTCTTTCTTGCCACAGTTTCAGGAGTGGCATTGAACATTGTTTTCTGTAACGCCCCTGAGGTGTTCACTCTAAGAAGCCTTTCTTGTGACCCTAAATGCATCCCTGGTCTGCATGGTTAGTTCTCAGATGTGGGTAACTCTTTAAATGTCCAGCGTCTCAGTGGCCTTGAAGAAAAGGACTCAGACTTACTCTGTGGCATGTGCTGATGTTCAGAGGTCCAGAGAGCTCACTGCTCAGAGTCCTCTGTCCCTCCCTCCCACACCGAGACTGGCTGACTCCCTCACTTTCCACAGAGCAGCGGGTGTAACTGAAGATGTGACTTTGAAAGAATTGCCTCTGTGGGCCTCATGATGGCAATCAGGGTGGCTTGGGCTTGTCCGGGTCTCTGATACCAGCCTCAGTGCCTAGAAAGCAGCATCTTTCATGTCTGTGCACTCCGTGAACGAAAGGTCAGCAGGGGTTAGCTATGCCTTTATGTCAACAAGAAAGACCTTCAAGCAAGGGAAACCAGTCCTTTCATAATTCTCACAAAATAGCCCACATATCTTGAGTGTATCATTATATTATTAAATATAACATTAAAACACCGCAATTTTATGATTAAACAAAACAGGCATCATAAATACTGGGAAAAATATGAATAAAATTTTAATCCCATCATCCAGAGACAGCCATTGTTAACATTTTATGCTTACATTTTTATTTATAATTATTTTAAAACTGGAATTTTCTTCCATTTTAAAAAAATATTACATTGCTAAATTCATAACTTTTTTCAGTGTCAAGTATTGAATCCAGGGCCTTGTGCTTGCTAGACAAGTATTCTACCACTGAATTATACCCTCGGCCATTTAAAATTTTTATTTTGAGGGAGAGTCCTGGTAAGCCACCTTAAGCTGGTCTTGAATTTGTAAATTTCCTGCCTCAGCCTCCTGAGTAGCTGAATTATAGACATGCTCCAGCCACTGGGCATTAAGTGTTTTTTAAAGGAAGATTTTTAATGACCATGGGCCATTATTTATTCCTGTCGGAGTACATCCATTAAAGCTGAATGCACCTTTTATCCCAAGTTCTAAAATCCACTAGATGATGGCAGGAACCACCCTGGGACCCTATCCCAGCCAAGAAGAAGGCAAATCCTGAACTCAGGTATTCTGATCCCCAGGGCCACCTCCCCATCAGGCGATCTCCCGCAACGTTTACAGGCTCTGTAGAGTCTGAGTTAAATGAACACCCCTTGCTTTGTTGAGTCCATGAGCTCCCAGCCCCCACAAGAGCTCCCTCCTTCGTCTTCTGTGCCCTCCTCTTCCCCCACACATTTCTGCAGGTACCACCTGCTGAATGCAGCTCTCGCACCTGGGAGATTCCTCATCCTGACTGAGAGGGGTTAAACTTCCAACACCCACCGTTTCTTTTTTTATCAGACATTTTAAAGACAACCCAAGGACCCAGTGGCCACAGAGGGAAATGGGCCTCTTTATCTGAGGGCTTCTCCTTTTATAAGGGAAATGCAAGAAAAATCAAAGTTGAGAGTGAGGGAAGGGGCAGGGGCCTCTCTCCTGTTCCTGGTCCCAAGCTTGTGGGACAGTGTGGTCAGCTGAGCAGGCATGCAGCACCCACGCGGTAGGAGGCGGAGATCCTCACGGAATTCTTAGATGAAGGGGACATGGAGGGGCTCCACCTTGGGTGTGCCCCGATTTATGAGGAGGTAGACAGAAACCTAAAACATCCACTATTGAGCCCCAAGGAAGATGGGGTGAGCAGCCGGACCTCTTCTATTGATAGGATCTTCCCACCTGATAACCCTGGGCCTCCAGTCTTGGCCAATGAGCAACTGTTGCTGACTGCTACTCCCAGTTACAATGTATCTTTGTGAATCAAGATGAGTGTCTAAAGTCTTAGTTGGGAATCTGGCTGTTTTACCATATACAAATAACTTTCTCCATTTTAATAAACACTCAGTAATCCTTCATGATAACCAGAGATAGCATCTTTACCACCCAGAACTTTCTCCAGTGCCCCTCTACCTACCACCCTTCACTATATCAAGTCCTCCCCAGCCAAGACCATCTTTCATTCAGACACGACCTTGACCCTGTACAGATCACTTGCTTTTTTCTTGCTTAATCAGCCAGAAGCAGCCACAAACATGGGTATACATTACTTCTGAACCCTCAAATGGCTAATTTTCCCTTATACTGCCCACTTTGCAAACGAACATACCTTACTCCTGTGTGCTCCCACACAAAAAAGGTTGCCTTCCAAAAAATTGCCTTAAAATGGGCAGCCACGTCGGAAGGCACTCAAACTGTGCATGGAAAAGTGTGTGAGATGTGTTCCCATACTGTACCACTTGCGAGGAGTTTTCCATGAGCGTTCTGTCCATGGGATGCAGCCTCCCAATCCTGGCCTTGAGCTGATTAACTAGAGTGCCTGAAGGGTAAATGGTCCCAAATAGCACTGCATAACCTTCAACAGTTCTTTACTTTCCCTGAGTGCTGAAGCCTCAAAAATAAAGCTCAACTACATATTAAAAAGAGCCAAGGGGAGCAGTTATGAAGAGGGATAAAAATACTGGAGGCACAGAGCCAGCTCCAGGCAAACTTTTCCAGGATCTCCTCCAGTTCTGGGTTCCAAAAGCCCAGCAGGTGTTTGTTTCTGCTGCCCTGTGATCGAGTCCTGTTCCCATTTGGAAGAGGGTGGTCAAGCCCATTTGTCCCATTTCTCCTTGCTTCCCATCCCTCTTCAGAGGCTGTTAGCAAAGCACGCAGTCGGAGCTCTCTCTGCGGACTTCCGAGTCTCCCGTGGGGACTAGAGAACCATTGATCTTAGTAGCTTTTATTTGCCACTGTGGCCCTTTCAGAAATGTTTCAGAAGAGAGAAGCAAACAGCATGCAGAGAAAGACAAGTGGAAGTGTGTGTGTGTGTGTGTGTGTGTGTGTGTGTGTGTGTCTGAAAACAAGTACAGTATTCAAACATGGCACATGGCCCTTTTTCTTGCCCCATTCTGTCTCCCCCCACCTTACACACATACAAACATACAGAGCTGGGCTTGGTGACCCACCCTAGGAAACTGAGATAAGAGGATTGCAACTTCAAGCGCAGCCCAAGTAACCTAGTGACTCAGCAAGATCTTTCTGCAAAATAAAGAATAAAAAGGGCAGGGTGAAGACCCTGGGTTCAGTCCCCAGTACTGCAAGTCAATCAAAACAAGACAAGAGCCCACAGGTGTCAAGAGCCATTCTCTATTTTTCTGAAGAAAAATCATTTCATAATTAAATTATAATTAAGGCTATCGGAGGCCCAATGTCACCTTGCCCGCCAGCTGGCTATGGCATGCAGAAACATAACTCTGGTCACAAAGCCTCAGTGGTGCCCTGATGCTGTGGTGCTCAAGGGCAATATTACATCAGCTGAAGATGTCCTGGCTCTGAGAACAGAGTAGTGATACAGTCAGTGAGAGCTTTCACCTGGGGGAGGACAGACTCCTCTTCAGTCTATCATCTCATCCCACCTGCTATGGTAGGAATGCTTTGCCCCCCTCACCTCCTCACTGACCTAAGATCCTCATCAGCATAGGATTCCTGCCACGCTGAAGTCACCCGACGCTGTCTTCCGTTATTGTGTGTACCCAACAAGTAAGAGCTGACTCGGAGTGTCTTTGCCTTCGCCCAGGCTGGCACTGACCTCTCAGCCCCCTGTGTACTATGAAATTATGTTTCTGTTGTCTTTCTTTCGTTAGCCCTCACAGCCCCACTCTCTAGGCAGATCAGAAGATTGATTGGCCTCTGATACACGTGCAGGCACTCGGAACAAAATGATGTCCAGAGACAGCAGCCACACCAGAAATAAACAGACTCGTACTCACTCTTGGGCACACTCAGTACCGCTTTCCCACTGCAAGGTGAGACATCAAATCATTGACTTTTTCACTCCCCGGCCCATTCCTGAGTACAGAATCCAAAGACCAAAGGCTTGTTTGCTGAGATGCTGTCAGGTGTGGGGTTACTGAGACTACGACAACCCTGCCTGGAGAGGCTTGAGTATGATAGAGGAAGGAGATGGAGAAGCACTCACACATCCACACGCAAAGTGCTTTAGAAGGTGTGAGTATAAGATATGGGTCGATTTCTCCTCCTGAACTCTGAAAAGGGGCAGTTCTACTTCTTGTGTTGGGTGAAACGTGGCCCCACAGGATCTGCTCTGCACAGGTGGGTTTGGGCCAGGCTGTTCACTGCCTACATCTCCATGGTGACAGCTTTGCTAGTTTTGGGCTCCATCCTGCCCACTTAGTTAGCTTCTCCAGCTTGTCCCTGAGGTGTACCCAGTGGGAAAGTTGAGGGGAAGGATGAGGAGGCTGAGGGTGCATGGGAGGAGGCTGTGCTGCACTCATCGGGGACCATTTGGTGGGGAGACGTAGGAGTAGCGGGTGATGATGGCCACAAATGGACCCTGGGAAAAAGCAGGCTTGGGAGCGGGAGAGCAGTTAGTGCAGGGCTGAGGAAGGAGAGGGATCTGCCCTGGCTCCTGTGGTCAAACCTCCAACAGCCCAAGAAGAGGAGACACCAAGAAGACCAGCCAGGAGTCCATGCTCCTTCTGCCCTCTCTCCTGCCTGGTTCCGCTGTTGATTCCCACCCAGCCACATTGTGCTGGTACAATAAACCCAGCCTATCCCAGGTCTCTGAGGGACACTCAGGCTGTCACCACATCTGGCAAAGATGGCCCCAGAGCCTCTGTGACCCCTCAGTGTTCACAGAGTCACAGGCTATGAGTGCTTAGAAGTCATGTAGCTGAGCCCTTCATTGCACAGGTGGTAAGACAGAGGTCTGAGCATGAGAGTCACTTGAATTGGTCAAGATGATTAGAGGAAGTGAGATTGCCATGCATTTTAGGGCAGAAATAAGGAAAAGAAAAAAAAAAGAAGAAGCACAAAGGAAATGCTCAGGGAGAAAAACGTGCTGTGAAGGAAAAAGAGAAGATATGTCCTGCATGCAGAAGAGATGCTGCAAGAGGAAGGGAGCAATGGCAGCAAAGTCAATAGCTGATGTCCTTCTGTGTCTCCATAGCTGATCTGGGAGGTCCCATGTGGTCTTGTGCTAGAAGACTGATATCAGGTGCCAGGTTCGGTGCATTCTAGCCTCCTACTGCATGTTCTTCTGAGAGACATAAATCCCCATAGTTCTTTATGCAGTGCTGAGGAATGGAAGTCTCTGTGTTCATATAACTACTTCCTGTCTCTACAGGAGAACCCATTATAAAATAAGGAGCTAGCATCTATATTTGGAGAACTGCTGAGCTACATGTTTTACAGAAGAGAGTCTGGTTGTCCTGAAAAGGGATACTGGATAAGCCACCAGTGTCCATCTAAGCTATGATAGATTGGGTGTCATTAGTGACTTGACTTATCTGTCCTGGAAGTGGAATTGCAATCCTGCTTTAAAAGAGGAGACCCAGGTCTTCCAGAGGTTCACAGGAGCAGCCCTCCTCCTTCAGATGGCCTTCTGATTTCCCATGGAGCTGGCTCTATCTGTGGTTACTAGTGCAGAAAGGCATATTTAGAGACTGTATAGACATTTTATTTTTTGCACCTTCCTAATGTCAATGCCCAAAGGGCTATGAGTTCCTCTTTTTGAGTCCCTGGGGGAAGGTTGTTGGCTTCAATGACCTGCTGTGAACTGATCCCTGCATAAACTGCTTTTCAATGTCCTTCTTGGACAAAGCTACTTCCATCAATGAACCACACCTCCTCAGGGCCTTGGAAGAGCAGGTCACTATTGTCCCCTACCTGCTTGCATGGGTCTGGGAGTTGTTCACAAGAACAACTAACTCTGTGCCTGTGTAAGCATCAATGAAGCAGTATAAAGAGTAGTGTGAGTCTTTATGGTAACCTCAGGGTTGTCTAAAAACATGATCTGATACTTGGTAAGTCATTCCACTGTCAACCACAAGTAGCTTTTCATCTCAAGAACAGCCCTGCCCTGATGGGCAGTCAGAACTTATAGTTTTTGTCCTGAAGTTAATTTCAGAGTTTCTTCCATTAGCATAGCTTAGCTGCCATTGCCCTCAGGCAGGCTCGCCATCCAGTGGCCACTGCATCTAACTTTTTTTGAAAAATAAGCTAGTAGATGAAGTTCTTTTCCCAGTCTTTGGGTTGAGACACTCAAAGCAATTCCTCTCTTTTCTGAAATATATAGGAAGAAGGATTTTCTTAAATCAGGTAGCCCTAATGCTGGAGCCTGAGGAAGGGCATATTTTATTTCTAAAAATATAGTGTCACTCACTTTTGCACATTCTCAGGGTATAGACTCAGAATGCTTGACAGTATCATGTAAAGGCTTTGCTGTTAGTCCAAAATGAGGATTTAAACCCAACAGAAGCCAGTCATTTCCAGGTAGGAGTAAAGCTGTTGTTTGGTGGCAGTGGGCCTCAGACTGCAGATAGCTTGGATCTGGCCCTAGACAGCCATTGTTTTCTTGGTATACCAAGTATTGGGCTTTCTGGGAGGATATCGGAGCTTTCTCCTTCGAGACTTTATAACCTTTCTTAGCTAGAAATTAAGGATTTGGGTAGTATAATGGGACAACTCCAAAGTTGGGCTGCAATTAAAATATCATCCACATACTGTAAGATGGTCCCCTATTTAAGCTTTAGGCTCTTTAAGTCTTTTTTCTAGTGCCCAAGTAAAAAGGTGAAGGCTATGTCTAAAGCCCTCTTAAAGAATTGTCCACATATACTACCGTTTCTCACTTTACATGGGATTTTTCCATTCAAAGGCACATAGAAACTGAGAATCTAGATGGAGTAGAATAGAAAAGAAAGCAATTTTAAGGTCTAGAACTTAAAACCAATTTATGAATTTATGTCTCCTGGAATCTGTGAAAGAATCATATAGGGATCTGCCACTAGAGGGAGGATTGGGATTACAGCCGTGTTAATGAGGCTGAGGTTTTGTACAGAGAGAATAGAATGGGAGTATTTTAAGGGGACTGGCAGTGCCACAGAAGGCCATGTTTGAGAAACCTGACTGTGAGAGGCTGGAGGGCTTTATGATGTCTGTTTTTATATTGGATACTGCTTTCTGTTAGAAAACTGGCTGGGGTCTTATAATTACTGGCTTTGCTGAATTTTCCCCACCAGGTATTCCATTATACCATGCAGCAGGGTTTACCTGTTGGCTAATTATGCCAGGGAGACCTGATGTAGTCTCAACAGGTAAAATCTGGGTGGTCTTTGCTGGATTTTGAAAATTGCTCCAACTCTGCAATTAAATCTCTTCCTAGCAAGGGAGAAGGGCACTGTGGAACAATCCAAAGCTCATGGGAAAATATTTGGCTTTTGAATTGACATGACAGTGTAGGAGGAGAGAACCTCTGACCAGGACTCCCCTCATCTCCTATTATAGCTATGAATCTGCAGGAAGGCTTTCTAGGAAAGGTTAGACCAGAATGAGCTGCCCTGTATCCACCAGTAACTGAAGACACACCCATGACACCCAGGGTTGCCCTGGGTTGCTCATGGGAGAAGGTGATGTCCATAGAAAAGGTGATGTAAGTGCCTCAGGCACCTTTGGTCCTCATCAGAGCAGGAGATGAGCACTGGGGCTGGCCTTGCCCTCTCTGTGGTGGGGGACAGTCAGTCCTCCCATGCCACGCATTAGGCATATTGGCCACCTAACACATGGAAGAGGAAAGGAGCCATGGCCTGGGGCATCTAGTGCCCAATTTTACACTTAAATCAGGAGCCCTTTCCTTGATCATCGATAGGTTTTCTTTTAGGCCACTTGGAGCAGTGTAAAGCGTTGCCCATTGTGACCGCCCTAATTTTGACCCTTGTTTCCTCACTCACATCTGGACCCTGATGGTTGAATACAGAGAAAGCTGTATCCAACAGTTGGATCATAGGCATATGGGGGCCCATCTGAAGTTTTTGTAATTTGCATTGAAGATCTTGGGTTGATTGACAAATGAAATGATTTCCTATCAGTGCCTGTCCCTTTTTGGAAGTGGATCTAATTTTGTATACATCTGAAAACTTCTACTAATTGGCTGTGGAGGATAGATGGATTTTCCTCTTTACCCTATGATTCTTCTCACCTTGTCATAATTAACAGATTTCTTAATGCATCTTTTCATTCCTATGATAAGAGCAGCTATCATGTTAGACATCGTTCTTAGTCCATCGCTAGCATTATAGTTCCAGTTTGGTTCTGTTGAAAGAATAAAACCTCACCTGGGTGATTTCCTTCCCTTCATGCAATGTACTGTTTTACCTGCACAGTTCCCAGTCTCTCCTAGGATTCTGTTTCTCACCTGGGAAACAGCAAGTGGTCAATATGAATTGGACATCCCACCACAATAGGTCAAAAGCAAGGGTCAAAGTTAGAAACCATCTACAAACATACTAGGATCTTCTGAAAGCCTGGCTATTCTTTGCATTGTTGGATCTCTGCTACTGAAAGAGGGGCCTGGATATCAGCAATTCCTTTTGCTCCTGGGCCCTTTCAGGGGCAGGATGAGTGGTAAGTTGAAGGAGTAGGAATCTCCACTCTGAGTATATCCTGCAGGACTGAAATTTGTCTCATGAGTGTGATGAGGCTGGGGAACACTGAATCCCTCTGGGCACTAGGTTCTGATGGAGTTCTTGAGTCACTTGAAGGAAGGGGGGTGTTTCACTAGCCTGAGGATTATAAGGAAGAGAGAGAGGAGTAGGTGCTTTCATCAAACAGATACAACATATATCCGCAATAGGCAAGTAGGGATCTGAAGACAGGGTCATCGAGAAATTCAACTTCCTCTACCTCAAGGGCCACTCTACCAGAGCCTCTGGGTTGTTCCAGGTTATAAAAGCCTGACCATGGGGAATTTCACTCCACTTTCTATGCTTTTTGCAGAAACTGTCTAACTGCAAAATAGTGTAATTTAAACTGCCACCCTGTACTGATCTCACAACATGAGCTAGCTTGTACTGAGCCCGTACTGTTGTTACCATAGCTTATAAATTAGTCATTTCCAGCCAACAGGGTCAAACCAATCCCATGTTGAAGGATGCAGCCTAATGTTGAGGCTGCCTAGCAAGCCCTCAGTCACAAACTGAGGGATCCACTCCCTAGATGTTCTCCAAACTACAAGTTGCAAGGTCTTTCGAGCTCCTGGCTATGAAATGATTTCACTCTCTTCTCCTTAGCAAGGAACAGAATAACAACTAAACCACAGCCAGCGTTCTTAGAATAACACTTTCACAGACATGTCCATGGATTTTAATTACCGCACGTAATAAAGCACAAGAATACCTAACGTACAATAGCTCTAAAATTTTCTCACTTGGTTTTTCAAACCCACATTACAGTACTTACAAGTTCCTAAAACTATCTTTACCACTAGATTAGAATGGTAATCATAACATCTGGCAAATAAAAACACACCGAACGTGCCTTTAAGTGTACTTTTGACAAGTAAGCTGGCATGTATTCTTATGGCGTGCTCCCCTACCATTCAGAATTGATGCCCGCATATTGCTCCAGTGAAACCTGGGGATCTCATTCATGCATTGTGTGGGGCAGACACTGCACATCATCAGAAGTACCTGGTTAGCTTACAGCTAATTTACAGGAAGATGTCATTTCAGTCAATTTTTATATGTGAAATAAGCATAGAGTAGGTAAACAAATTAAATTCAAAGCCTTTAAAATACCTCAATTAAACACCTGCTCTCATATCTCCAGACTTTCAGGTAAAATCCTTTCTTGGTTTCAGACTTGTCAACATTGTCTACATTTTCTTAGTCTAAGCAGTCACCTTTTAACTGAGGTAGACCAGATGTTTCTGATTCAAAGGCCCACAGAATCTTTAGATAGTAAAGAAATTGTCTGAGTCGAAAGGGTTTCATTTTTAAACAGATGAATTATTTGAAAGACAACCATTCCAAAGGAGGGAGAGCTGCACCTTGAAACAGGCTGTGCTGCTTTTAAACAGGGAGGAGCAACGTGTTAACTAGCGGCTGCAGTTCTGGGGACTAAGTACCTTCAGGAGCAGCTGCCACAGTGGCCACAACTCTGGGACCAACTCAGGTGCACTGGTGACCACACTCACCCCTGTCCATCTCCAAGGAAAATAGGAGCACTGACCATAGCCCCTACCCTTTCTTCAAGGGTCTTCTGTCCCCTCCAGGGCATTCAGAGCCTCTCAGTCTCCACTCCACCAGAGGACATCTGTGCTCAGCTACACAGTGGCCAGGACTTAAAGGACTGTGCATCTCAGCTGGCTCTGTGCTAATGAGATCTAAGCTCAGCCAACACACAGGCTTCTCATGCCTCACTCCATCAGCTCCCAGGGGGTGGCCAGCTTCCACCAGTTTTTACCACCATCTAGTTCCCTGCTTCTCCCTGGCTGTCTTAGGAGAGAAGGGAAAGGAAGGGACTTGACAGAGGGCTGGGAGGGGATTGGGGCCTTCTAGGGGGCAGTCCTTAAATTAGTCCTCAGCTTGAGTCCACAGACTTCAGAGACAGGGGACAATCATTCCCAATGGCCTTAGCTCCTGCCCTCCTTCCATTACCTCCTGGGTGGCTTCATCAACTACATCATTGGGTGGGGTGGGGACAAGCAGTGTTTCCCAGGTTCTTATTTATGTCCCAGACAATGAATTGGGCAGGACAATTAGTGGATGTGAAAGACTACCATTTATTTTATGGCAGAAATAAGAAAAAGAAAAGAAAATGGAAGTGCTCAGGGAGGAGAGGGTTTTTTGAAAGAAGAGCAGGTGCATCCCGTGCACAGATCAGGTGCTGCAAGAGCAAGAGCACAGTGGGCACAGCTCGGTTGCGGCTGTCCTTCTGTGTTGCCACAGCGGATCTGGGAGGTCTTGTGCTAGAAGGCTGCTATCTAGTGCCAGGTTCCGTGTGTTCTCCTTGGTACTAGACACAGGGCTCGCTTGGCTTGATCCCATGTCTGGCTTGGGTGCTGACATTCTGTGTTTGTGGTTAATAAGTCTCCTCACCTGGCCATCATGCCCAGCTGCTCCAGCCGCAGTGCCACAGCCCAGTCCCCTGCTACCGTGAGACCCTGGAGAGCTGGGGAGATTCAGGAAGACCCTGGGATGAGAAGTGCTCATATGTGGTTGGATAACGAGTCAGTAGTACAGCCAAGAACAGAGCTGGGAGCTTGGTTCCAGTCCCTGGAGCTAGTGTGGCTCCTTCCCAGCTGTAGGATGGCAAGAGGTTGTTTCCACCACAGCAAGAGCTACACCCAAAGTCCTGGGAGCCGGTCCACCGCACAGGTACCTGGAGACATGGACCCCAGAATTAAACATCCTGATGAAGGTGGGATGGGTGGGGGAGATGGAGGGAAATAAGTGAAGCTGGTCTGACAATTGCTTGGGTTTTCTCTTTTGTGTCCTGATCATCTAGCTGCTGAGAGCAACCTGCAGACCCTACAAATAAAATTCTCAGGTCTCACACTGAGGATGCTTGGGAAGGCACCTGAGGTGGCGCATGATGGTAGGCAGGGACGCAGATGCTGAGGAGTGGGTTTGTAACCCCCTCTGTACTCCCCTGACTCTCAGAGGCCACCCAACCCCGGCCCGGGATGGGCACCTGAGAGTAGGGGTACGTGGGAGCAGAGGCTGGGTCCCGGGCCTCACAAGGGCACCCGAGAGACAGGCTGTGCCCGGACAGGTATGCACAAGCCCAGGCCACGCTCGGCCCACCCTCCAGGGCCTGGGGCCCCCTCAGGTGCATCGCTCACCATGACCCCTGTTCCCAGGTAACTTCGGCCAGCAGAAGAGCAGCACATGCCATGGGGGCATACACGCAGGGAGGCGAGCTAACCTGGCTTCCCCTATGAAAGGAAGAAGACCTGGAGAGGAAGAAGAGACAGTGTCAACTTGAGTGACTTCTTTCTCTGGATGCCTCTTCTGGAGCTGAACGAATTCCTCCAGGAGGATGAGGTGAAGTGATTTTGCCCGTTTTACCGAAGGAGAGGCTGGAATGAAAGGGCGACACCAGTACACATTTGTTTTGCACCTACCGCTACATGGGCCAGTGTTGGTATCCAAACCATTCAAACACTGCACGGCAGTATGCAGGTTATATGCCCACTGTCTGCATCGTACACGTGGAGAAACTGAGGCACCAGAAGAACAAGTAACGTGTCATAGATGCACTCCTGATGGGTAGCCAGACTAATCCAACTGGCCTGCTCCAAGACAGGGCTTCTCTCTCTCTCCAACACTACCCACCACCATGCTGTGGACTGAGCCCCTGGGGCCCAAGAGCCCTCCGATCCACAGCAGGCCTCCTTGCCCCTGTAAACACATGGAGACGTCTTTCACTGTCTGATGACCCTGGCCATACAGTAGGACTTTCAAATGCAATCAATTTTCCTCTCTAACTTGGCCAGCACCCTGGCAGCTAGCAGAGTGAATGAGGCCATCCACATGGGTGCACACACAAAGACAGGTGCCTGGGAGCCGGTGGCAGTGAGATGCTACCCTCGTGCCACAGCACCCTTCCAGGGCCCCGACAAGGACGTGGAGGGGCTTTCTCCCCTCTCCTTGTCCCACAGGCCCCAGCCCCAGCTGATCTAACTCCCAGGAATCTAACTCCCGGCTGGGGATCTTGGGCGGCCTGGCCTCGCAGGGTTGTGAGGGCGCCACTGGCGCACGGTCGCCACCTGCTGGACCCACAGGGGAAGTTCCCTGAGACTGGTCCTCCCCCAGTCAGCAGAGGGGTTTAAACCCGGCTTAGCCTGCACTGCGGCTCCAAGCGCCTCCCTTCAGCGGGCCGCCCAGGGCCTCCCAAGCTCCCGCTCAGCTCCTGGGTCGCTTGTCCACGGGAGAGCCCGTGCCTACTCCACCTCTGCTCCGTCCTGTGAGGAAGCCTCTGCTCTGCTTGCAGCTGAAACAACAGGCAGCAAGGAAGCCGCTGCTGCTCCTGCGCGCAGATGGTGCTGCAAACTTGACCGGGTGCCTCTCCCGCTTGCGTTCATAAGCAGGCAGTTACCATCCCCGTATGACAGGCCCCTGCA